GGGGGAGCCGTCAGCAAAAAGACCTGCACATGTGGCCCTGAAAGGGCATCGGGCATCGGCCGCGAGGGAGGAGGCACAGGGAGGGGAGCGCGCACCGGTGCCGCTGAGCACGGAGTCGCACTCATCGATGACGAAGACCTTCAGCTGGGAGAGGTCGATCTCGCCGCGGTTGACCAGGTCAAACATGCGGCCCGGGGTGGACACCACGATGGTGGGCTTCTCCTCCTTCAGGGTCTTGATGTTGTTCTGGATGGCATCACCGCCGAAGAAGACCGCCACCTTGAAGGGGAAGTACTTGACGAAGCGGTCATACTCCATCTTGATCTGGTAGGCCAGCTCGCGGGTGTGCGCCAGCACCAGGACCGCGACGTGGTCCTTGGACAGGTCGGCCTCGGCCAGCGACAGGCGCTGGATGGTGGAAATGACGAAGACCGCGGTCTTACCCATGCCCGACAGGGCCTGGCAGAGGATGTCACTCCCCTGGTACGCCTGGACGATGGCCTGGTGCTGGACTGTCAAATGGGACGGGCACCGGGGGAGGGCGGGGCCGGGGGGGGGGCGGGTAGGGGGAGGGGGGGGGGGGGGGGGGGGGGGGGGGGGGGCAAAGCGTCCCCCCCGCGCGGGGTGTGCGACGTGCGGGGGGGGGGGGTCGTCGTCCCCGTGTAGCCGCCGGGGGGGGGGGGGGTGGAGAGGTGCCGGGGGAGGGGGCGGGCGCGGGGGATGGATGGGGCAGAAGAGATGGCAGATAGAGAGGGGGGGTGCACTTTTGGGGATGTGGGCGGGCGCGCAGCGCAGTGCAAGCGCGCGCCTCCCCCTCGCTCCTCGCCCCGCTCTCGCCTCCGCTCTTCTCCAGGCGGAGGGGGGGGGGGTATGATGTGTGCCTGCTGGCCTCTCCCCTCTCGCGATCTTCCTGGCCTTTCTCTCGTCGACCGCACGCCTCCTGCCGCCTCCCCGGTCTGCCTTTGTCCCTTCGCCCCGAGGGGACGCGAGAGGGAGGGAGGGGGGAGCGCGGGGAGGGAGGAAGAGAGGGACGGAGGGCGGCCACCACACGCGCACGCAGGCGAAAGAGGAGTGCGGGGGGGGGGGCGTGCGGAGCAAGGGAAAAAAAGGCGGCGGCCACCGAAGCACACACACACATATGCACGCACATGCACCCTTAGGCAACCATGTAGGTGCTCGGGTCGATGTGGTCGGGGAGCTCCTCGATGTCAACCTCGAAGCGGTTCTGGATGCTCTCCAGCAGGTCAACCTCCTCCTTCTTGTTGTCGCAGAAGGCGATGGCCAGGCCCTTGGTGCCAAAACGACCGGCACGGCCAACCTGCAGTGCGCAGCAAGAGAGCACACACGAGGACAAAGCCGAGACACGGGGGGGGGGAATATAAATACACGGTGTGAGAAAAGGCACTGGTGAGGGAAGGGAGGGCGCGCGTGCGAAGGGAGACAGAGAGAGAGAGAGAGAGAGAGAAAGGGGGGGAGAGGAGAAGGGGACGCACGCGGTGCAGGTACTGGTCCGAGCTCTCGGGCAGATCAAAGTTGATGACGATGTTGACGTGCTCGATATCGATACCACGACCGAACAGGTCAGTGGCCACCAGGATGCGCTCCTTGTTCTCCTTGAAGCGGCGGTAGCGGGCAATACTGCGTGCGCGTGCGCGTGCGCGCGCGCGCGTGGCAGAAGGAGGGCGAGGGAAGAGAGGGCGCGCACCGGTCGGCGTCAGCATGAGGGGAGGATGGGGGGGAAGGAACACGACAGGACACCACGCACCGCTCCTGCGTATCCAGAGTGCTGTAGATGGCAATGGCCGGGAAGTTCTCGTTGGCCAGAAGCTCGGCCAGCATCTTGCACCGGGCGATGCTGCGCACGAAGATGACGACCTGGCTGAAGTCCAGGTGGTCCAGCAGGCCCATCAGACGCTCGACCTTCTGCTGGTCCAGGACCGAGACGTAGTACTGGCGCAGACCGGCCAGGGTCAGCTTCGACTCCTTGTCGACGTAGATCTCCAGCGGATGGTTCATGAAGCGCTTGCAGATGGTCTTCATCTCATCCGGCAGGGTGGCCGTGAACATCATGGTCTGCTTCTCGCGGGGGGTCTTGACGAAGATGCGCTGGACGTGGGTGCGCATATCTGCCGGCATGGTGCCACGCCGCAAACCGAGGGCGAAGAAGAAGGGACAAAGCCGGGGTCAGATTGGCGGGGGGGGGGGG